TATTCTGTTGTAATTTTCAATTGTCCAGTAGATATACACGATAAACAAGGTATAATTCTAAAGTTTACCCAGTGAATAACCAACCAGCAATAAAAATAAAGACTTATAAAATATAAGAAGAAAATATTTTGAATGGGGTACTGAGGTCAGTGTTGAGCTTAAGTTGGTATAATATACGTAGATAAGTAGTTTTACACTTATCTACTGTAGAAAGCCTATAAATCATTGTAAAATACGTTTTTTGTATTTCATTACTGCGTTCTCATGACAAATGGATCACTGTCTAAAAATCATATTAAGATAACGAGATTTCCCTTCGATTCTCTACTTTTGTTATAATTATCTATTTTAGGCGTTTCTTTCACTAAATACTGAAAGTTTTGCCTAGCTCTTAACGAAACACATGTAGCCCATCTTCTTGAATTTAGCGCGAAAATCCAGGAACCTCTGTCTGATAGATTCATTGGTGTAATATGGTTTTACTTACTGAATAAATATAAAGTGTGAAACTTGTATAGAATAAACTAATTCTTAATGAAAACTAGACATAGTTATCATTGTTTCATCAATTATATACCTATACTGCCTATTCCTAATTTAAATTTTTTTACTAATCGTTTTTATGTTGTCTTCATATTGTCATGATCATATCAACATGATAAGAGTAAAATCACGCGATAAATCATGTTTTCTTTCTAAGAATTATCAAGTAAAATACAAAATGCACTACTTTTTCTCAACAACACTTCTCTTTCCATGTTAAATTGAATTAAATAGAAGAACGTTAGGCTTTCTTACGTGAACAAAATGTCGAAAATTTCTGAATTAAATTACAACTTTATTATCCTATCATCAAGTTCGATTTAATTAAAATAAACAGAATATATTCTGTATATTATTAAGCGTGAAAAATAAATATTTCATCTGTTAAATGCGAAGCAGTAATCAACGAGAATAGTGTTTGTTATCTCACAAAATGTAGGCCAGTAAGATTTTATTCAATAATTCAAGTGCAACAATCTTGCCGCAAGACAGAAAACCTTCAACTTTCTCTCGAATTTAAAGTTGTGAAAGTATATGTTGATAAAAAGGTTGAAAATTGTACAGAACGGATATCCGGTGTATGATTATTTGTTTGATGCTTTTTTAGTTGACATTTTCTTCTGACAAAAATTGTTTTTTTTACACGCAATATCAATAATTCCTTACAGATTTAAAGAAAAACCGAATTTAACGAAGCAATATTGATCTTCGTAAATATGAAACACATAAAAGTCTATGTATATAGCGATAAAAATCATACAGAGAATCAACATGCAATTTTTCTCATAAAAACCAAAGTAAAAATAACTTGAATGTTGTTAAGCAGGTTTAAAAAAAAAGGAGAACGTTTTTTACGGTGCAAACAACAGTGGTAGAATTTTAATTGCATCGATTCAAATTTTCGAATGAATTTCAAACAGAAATAATGATAATGATGATAAATATTGAGGTTGTACTAGACTGCAACCTGATTATTTGATGATATTCATTGTTCATATTTGTGTTTTATGTTTACATAAAAGCTACAAAAGGTGATTAAAACTAAGAGTTAAATCATTCGATTCACTCAGCCGAAAGTTTTATTTGGTTAAAATGTTGGGGATGTAAGATCCCTAGAACTCGCTTGATAAATATCTTTATTTTGGATTTTTTTCATGGACCAATCAGTTGACCTTGAGATCACATTTCTCACCAGAAAAATCCTTGGCTGTGATTGGTTACTGTGTCATTTTAGTGTGCTATTTTTGTGACTGTCTCAAGGACGTCTCTATTGAGTATAAATAAACGCGATTTTAGTCCTTGGTTTCATTGTGTGCTGGTTGGGTGTTTGTAGAATACAATTTCTACACTATATCAAGACTTCTTGCTGATACGTTTTAGTTAAGGGATCATAGTAGCCTACCTCGACGCTGGTTCATTGTTTTGTTCTCGTTATTCGACTAAGGTGAACCCGTAATAGTTTAAGCATACCTAGAGACGAGCGTAACAGTCAATCATCTAAAGGGGCATAAATCGACCATAAAAAAGAGCAGTCAGATATTTTCTGAATATATCTTACTCAATATCTTAGTATGAAAAAAAACTCAGTTTAATTGTGGATTTAGTATAGTGTTTTCGATAGAATAAGTTTATTTTAAAATGATAGAAACTCATTTTTTGATTAGAAGATGAGTGTTTGATTTACTCTAAGTAAATATTGGTTTTGATTAGTACTCCATTGATTGCCTAGTTATTGTGGAATACAAAGGTTTACATTTTATTGTTATACATCGTATACTGTTGAAACATCTATAAAACAATCTGAAATAAAGACTAATTTTTCCATTCAACAAACAGTCCTGCGTATGATAAAAGGTGATATTCATTAAATTTTAGTACTAAATTAGGAATGTAACCGTTCCAGTTAAATGAACAAATCAAGTGTTCAATGTTTTCATGCCATATTAAAATTTATATTTGAATAATGTAAAAGCATTATGTCAATCTTGGCAGTAATTTTGAATAGGGCAAATTTATTAAACTGTTGAACTGAAAAGCAATTGTTCAATTTTAAGGTCATTGTATGGAAAAAAAAATGAATTCAATGGTTTTTTGATAGTTATTCATAGATGCGAGAAAAATTCTCAATTGTTATAGTTTTATCTGCACAAAACTTTTCTATTCAGTGTAGCTTCGTTCTAATTTTTTACTATTTCTTTTAGAAAAGCACAAACATCATACTTCCAAAACAATTCAATGATAGCATCTGTGACTGCAACACACAAAGTGACATAAATAACCGAATTACATAAGAAATATCAACCGATTTAAGAGTCAAGATAGTTTTTGTGGTTACAAGTTCCAAATGAAATAAAGCATAAGCTTAAGATATTGTCTAATTATGTCTAACTACTAGAAACAGTTGTGTGCAATTAATATAGAGGAACAAATATGATGATTTATTAGTTTTGAACGAGACAAAATTAATATTACGCTGATTTCGATTTTCACTGGAATTTAAACTTGTGACATTTATGTATGTTTACATTGTAGATATTTATCACGAGAAATCAATTAATTAGACAGAATTTATTACAATAAAAATTATCACAATCTTTGTATTGGAAGTTAGAAAAATCAATCTAGACAAATATCAACAAAAATGGAAAGTATTTGGCTTTTTTTCACTGACATTTAATGTACTTTGCCTAGTTAGAAATTTCTTATATCAAAATATCATTTGAATGGGGGATTTTTTTGAGATATCTGTGAATGCTGGGATTTGTTGATAGTCTCAAACTAAATAAAACTAATTACAGATAGATCATTAATTTTGCAATAACCAGGTGATTAAGCTGCAGTCACATGTGTGTGTATGTGTTCACGAACAGCATGAAACAACTGTTCAGTGACCTCAGGTTTTCAAGAGTTCTGTCCTTGTAAAAAGAACATTTACTTGTAAAATAGTCTGAAAGTTCAATCAATTAATATTGATTAGCTGATATTCAGACTGAGAGCTATTCCTGATCAACAGCAACTATGAAATAAAATAACCTATACAAAAGCTATTAATCTGAGTTTATAGATATATTTAAATTATCGTGTGTTGATAGAACCGAAAATGTTTGTGTTAAGGTAAAGACGAATTTGTTGAGAGACAAATTTAATTGACAATTTAGCCAAAAACTAAATTGATATCCACACAAAGTAACATACATAATTTTCTTTCAACAAATGTTGATGATTTGAAGTTATTGAACTTCCTACAAAATGTTTCTGAACGAAATTTAAGCGGAATGTTTGGTTATTTATTTTGGATATTTATTTAATGAACACAAAATTGTTTTTATATAAAATAAACATTTCTTGACGTATAGAACACAGCTTGTATTTTAAAAGTTTGAATTATCCGGTATAACATAATCCTGGCAATGCTTAAATACCATTGATAATCTCAATGACATACAAACAAAACTCTAATCATTAAGAAGGGAAGTTATTTTTTAGTCATGGTATTTAGGACTATAACTACAACGGTAGGTGAATATCAGTAACAAGAAATTAGCGTTTTAACGCATTATTTCAGTCAATTTCAACGAGTTAGTAGGTATTTCGGCTTAGTGGATAATGCGAAAACATTTGAAGCAATGAATACTGAGTTTGAACTTCAATGTACATCCATCTGATAAGTCTCATATTCCTCTGTTAGTCGTATAATAATCTAAGATTATTTTGAATGGTTTTCTGAATATCCAACTAACCGTACTGCAGGAAACAAGTTAAAAGTGATTCATTTTCATCAGTACCACTGTAGCTTTAATGAATCCGAGAAATCTCTATAAGAAAAAACACTTTTTAGCATTTTTACAGAAATGTTTTAGATTATAAATTTGAAATTCAATCTACAAAAACTCTAAATTTTTTATGAAGAATATTTAACTACTCTAAATATTCCGTTAAAGCATTGCAATCAATAATAGACAAGAATGACAGATTGAAAGCGCTTTTCTTAAAACTTAGTTTATACTACTTAAAAAAATGTAGGGCAATATGCATCAACTGTTTTTTTATTCTCGAAAACTTATCATTAAGCTATGTAATACATAGACGTGACTAAATATATCGTCAATAAATTGGGAAAGAAGATTTAAATAGTAGCATGCTGGTTAAAGTACCTGATTCAAACTGTGGCAGCCAATATCAATGACTTCTATAAACAGTCAGGTGCAAGTCAGTGAGCGTAAACACAAGCTTGATAAACGAATGAAATAAATATAAAACCTTGACATCAATATAGAATGACGAATCGATAGTTCGGGATAGTGGTTGCTAAATAATGAGTTGTACTGAATCCAACCTTGAGAAAGGATCGATAGTATTTTTGGCTCCTGACTAAATGTTCAATTGTTAATGCATGTCAATTTGTTGTAAATTCAAAGGATAAAAAACAGAAAAAAAAATAACCGCAAATATTTTACCTTGTGCTTCACGTTCTGCTTTTGACTTATTCAAATGAATTTGTAATTCATGCACATTTGATTTGATCTGATTGATTTCTGTAGCCAATTTCAAACCTTGTTCTCGTTTTTCTTCTAGTAAATCTGAGAATTTTTAAACAACATTAATAATAAGACAGATGGGAAGTGACAATTAAACATCTAACTTCATGTTAACATTTTTCTAAAAATTGTTCACATAAGGTGATCAGAAATTCACTTTAATCATGAACTGAATTCAACTGAAGAACTATTGAACAAGTTAGAAAGTACGACAATAATTTGACCTTCGTTTAATAGTAGTAATAATAATAATAATAATAGCAGCAATGATTGCCTTCTTCAAAACTACATGTTTAGTTAAAAACACAATTTCTCAGCATGAAAATAAGATCCATTCTTGTACTATTTTATTGTAAATTTAGATTTGAAAAAAAAATGATAGATAAGAAATGATTGGTTGTGATTCAATAATAAACGTAAAATATTTACGACAAGTTTTACTCTTTTGATAATAATCTTACTTGGAGTTATATTTATTATTAGAATTTCAATGTTATCATAGTTCATTTGTACGGAAGAGATATAAAGGAAAATTGAACGTATCAAATTGGTGTTTCAAACGAATTTCACAGTATTTAACTGTAACTAGAAGCTGCCTAACCACATTTAGTTAACGTATATTAGGTATGCATTTAAAATAAATTCAAAGTAAGCAAATGTATTAGAATGTTTTACACAGCTGTAAAATCAGAAAATCAGAAATTAAAACATGAGAGGTGGAAATCAAGGATTTAGTGGATTTTTAATGAAAAAACATCTTTAGGCTAGTGTGTGTGTTTCGAAGTTTTCCGATCTTGATCGACTTGTGAAAAAAACACGATGCACACACTCAGTATCTCTGGACACTTGTTATATTATTTCCGGGTTGATTAACTTAACAAGTCACAGTCTTTTAATTACCCCTTAGAAAATCTAACTGGAATTTGGTCTTAATTATTTATCCAACTGACTATTAGTCTGTAAATACAAAGAAAATCTTTAGAAACTGCCTATTATATTTCATTTAGCTAAAAGTAAATATTTTATTGATTTGTTGAATTGTAAGTTTACATTTTCAGTTAAATTATCCGAGATTTCAACGGAAACAATGTTGATTGTAATTGCGATTTAATTGATTAGCCATAACAAACGGATGGTACCTTCGATGGCAGAGCTTTGTTTATTCTCGTCAAACGTAAATGGTACGAATCTTTTGGAACACACTAACCTGCGAAGTTAAAGTATGATAGATTTCATCCACTTATGTCCAACAACATGCTGCCCATTCAACAGCAAAGTATGCAAACAAGTGAGATCAGTGGTATTCGGATTAATCGCAGAAATATTTATGAATAGGCTGAATCAAATTAAGAATTTGAATATGCTCTGTAGACTACATATTTGTCATTATCTAAAATAATCAATTGAAAACTACTGACAGTTCAGTCTTCGACGACTAATAAGTGGAAATTGGAGATATATGTATATCAAAAAACCAGACCCTATTGATCAAATGGTTAGTTACGCAAGAAAAATCAACCTAATGGCTCACCAGATACTCTGTATATTAACACTATTTAAAAAAGTTAAGACATATAGCAGCACTAGTATCATGCGGAGAAAAGAAACAAACTAGGTCAAAGATGTTTAACGGGGAAACGGTTATCCACAAACCTTCATCGGGAATTGCTGATGAAATTGACTGGAAGACGAAAAATCAAAGAACAGAGTTTTACATTCAGTGAACTTCTCTGAGACCACGGAGAAATCATTTTTCCACCAAGAATAAGTGTAGCCTATAAGCTGTTCGTCAAATATGATGAAATATGTGCATGCGATGTTGGTCAGAAGAACAATGCAAAGTTTATGGCTACAGCCACCAAGCTCAGAAATAACAATACTCCTAGCAACCTTCAAACACTCAACTGCTGTCGAAAAACTATTTAGTACTCCAGTTTAAAGCTTTATAACCACCTCATCAAAGTTTATTTAATGAAAGTGATTTTGATAGTCATTAACATAATTATTTACGTTCAAATACATATCTTATAGTATCGATAATTTTCTAAACTGTACAAAACAAATGAACTCTTGCATAATGAATGACTTAAAAATTCTCAAGTGTCTCATATTTAATTAGTTAACACGTCTAAAAAGATGATTGTTTTGATTTTAATAGTATTCCTTGTAAAGCAGCTTTTCAAGCAACAATCTGCATGAATCTCAAAAGAGTGCAATGGCTCAACAATGAACTCTAATTAATTTCAGTCATACTTTATCAGCAGAAATATCCCATGAAACTAGTACAATGACCAATCAGTTTGGGTCACAAGAGAGAGTGAAAATCAATAAAATTGTGTATCATAGAGACCCTGGTAATTCATTGTCTGAGATCTAAACCTTATGTGCAAAAGCAACCGGTGGAAGGTCTCTTTTTTACCATGGACTTATTGCTTTTAATCCCTGATAACAGGTCAACTTAATAGTAATGCTTAGTTTAAAAGTCGTTAATTTTTAATTTTCACCTATCACTATATCGACGTTTCTAATTTTTGCTTCACCTCTCTCATACTTGTCATTAAAAGCAATTGAATTTGAAATATGACTTCACCTAGAAAATTTGGATTAGTAAATAAAATAAACGCTATTTTTAATTAAATTTAGTTTATGTCAAAATTGAATAATTTATTTCACATAACTTTTTCATTTTCCCTAAAAGCAGTCAATCAATAAAGACTGTTAAGTACAATTGATTAGATCAGTTGTCAAAAAATGGTAAGAATGAAATAAGGGATTACATGATAAGATCTATTTAATCATGAAGTGTTTGTAATTGTTAGACTTTACTTCCAGTTGTTGTGATGTGTATTTCATTGCTTTGTTTCATCAACCAATCCTATTTTTATCAATATAACTGATTTCGGGTTGATCTTACTGTAAATGTTAAACTATTATTAATAAGATGTATTAATGATAAATAGGATGTTCGATTTCTGCTCACGGGGTTGTGGGTGAGTACAGCTAAGGAAAACTATACTAAGACGAAATGGATATCTAGTGATAACAGGTTTTAGATCATTTTATGATTTCAATGAACAGACAATCCATTCATTAGCGACAGGTCATGAGATCGACATAAACACAAAGCGTAGATTTACTTTTAAATGTAAAATGTTGAATCGAATTCAGCTAATACTTTTATTCAGGAAATTCAAAATAATAGTAGTAATAATAGCATTACGATGTTGTGAAGATTGTCAAGTTACACATTTGAAATCAGTAATCGATCAGTGTTAGACCACCATTAAAAACCTGGAAGTATTGTACGGCCGTTTCGTCCTGGAATGGGATTCATCAGAGGTGTGCACCAACGACTCCTGCAACTCGCAGAATTAGAACCCAGGAGTTTCTGTCTTGCACGTGAACACCTAACATCTGGACCACTGAGACGGAACCTAACAGTGTTAATGTCTAACTTCGATCGATTCACGGAGTTGCGCAACCTCATACAATGTCTTTGGTAGTTACTGTCTACACCCGAACAAGTTGAACTTCACTGGTAACTGATCATCAGCACTGCTGATTAGTCCCATACCTGGATGAAACGGCCGTCCAGTGCTTCCAGGTTTCTAATGGTGGTCTAGCATTGATCGATTCATGGTTTCAAAAATGTATAACTTAACATTCTTCACGACCTCGTAATGCAATTACGTTTGCTCACTAGCTCCGCGGGGAATCTTCTTTGAGTTCTAGTGGGAAGTCGCGACCAATAATAATAATAATAATCAAGAATTAATTAGTTTGCTTGATTTTAAATCGATTGCGGTATTGATTTTCATTGGATTTTATTACATACAGTGTAAAATAAAAAATGTATTGACTCGTGCAGATATACACATGTCCATTATTGAATTCTAACACATTCTCAGTTTTCCAAGAATAAATATTTGTTTATTCAAAATATGATTTTTTGAATAAATTAAAAAAACCCAATAAGGTATATGCATTAAATTGACAATGAATCTTACTTTTATTTTCTTGATAAATATGGAATAATTCTGAACCAGGTTCACGTTTAAATTCTTCAAATGCATCATATTTATTCCGTGGACTAAATCATTAGTGAAAAAAAACAACGAACTTCATAAACTTTAAAGTAATCGATATTCTTTGAGCTTCATTCACTTCTGAAGCGAAACATGAAAACTACCGTCATATGTACTAATCTTTGAATAGAAATGCAAATGTTTTTCAATTATATGTAAAACTTAAGGTTTACCACAATCTAGTGAAGTTGAGATGTTCCAAAAAAACTTTTATTGAAATAGAAGTTGTATAATTATTGAATACATTGATCCGTAGAATCTAATAATTATTGTTATTATGTAGTAAAGAAATACAACTATTTTGACATGTCAACAAAATATGATTTGTTAGTTAGTGTTCAACTCAAAATAATGTAAGGAAAATACTAATTACCATGTGAATATGAAGTAGATAAATACGGGGTTGTGAAGAATGTTAAGTTATACATTTTTGAAACCATGAATCGATCAATGCTAGACCACCATTAGAAACCTGGAAGCACTGGACGGCCGTTTCATCCAGGTATGGGACTAATCAGCAGTGCTGATGATCAGTTACCAGTGAAGTTCAACTTGTTCGGGTGTAGACAGTAACTACCAAAGACATTGTATGAGGTTGCGCAACTCCGTGAATCGATCGAAGTTAGACATTAACACTGTTAGGTTCCGTCTCAGTGGTCCAGATGTTAGGTGTTCGCGTGCAAGACAGAAACTCCTGGGTTCTAATTCTGCGAGTTGCAGGAGTCGTTGGTGCACATCTCTGATGAATCCCATTCCAGGACGAAACGGCCGTACAATACTTCCAGGTTTCTAATGGTGGTCTAACAGTGATCGATTCATGGTCTCAAAAATGTGAAACATTTGATTGCCTATAAACTATTCACTTAATTGTAATCCAAAGAAAACTGATAAAAATAAACACGTATCTAAGTATTCGGCTACATAGTTAGTTAAGTGGCATTTACAATTTATTTTCTAAAAAAAACTGTTGATTTTGTTTAAAACAGTATAAATTAACACAATGTAAGGATCAAATATTATTTCAGTAACGAAATGAGTATAACAAGTTGTCTGATACTGAGATGGTGAGGAAAATTCGTAGCTCAGGTAGATGATTATGGTGGAGTTTCGTTCTCTGATCTGAATGGTTTGGTCGTTAAGCTTGAAGCTTGTTCTGATGATGTTGTTCATGAAAAGAAGGAACGCTTCACAACTAAACTATCTATCTAGCCCAGCGAATGAAACTCGACCATTATTTGTCTAATTGCATGACTCTTGCTAAACAGTAAAATTGTCTATTCTTCCTCAAAAAACATTACTGAAAAAATGAATTTTTTCGGTTAAAAAATATAGTGACTAAATTAAAAATTATATAACCTGGATTTTCTTTGCGTGTTGGTATAAAATTCAGTAAGATGCACTCTAAAGTATCATGAAAATGATGTTTTTAAATAAAAGGAAACACATGCCGTGCATATTCTCGGTCTGTGATCTACTGGAACTGTTAATCAGGCAATAAGTTTAGAGTTAATCAGTTTATGGCCAACTGTGCTCAGTTATTTCGTGAATAATAATAATAATAATAATAATAATAATAATAATAATAATAATAATAGAGATTTTGGTTGGGCACTTATATTGTTTTGAGCCACGTTATGTGACAAAATCCTAATTCACATGTATATTCGTTCCGATTGCCAGAGAAAGATTTAATTATCAAGACAAATCCTCTATGAGTAGTATCAGTATCAGTAGTATAAAAAAATATTAGGCCTATAAGGTATAATTTGTGAAGAACCGACGAAAAACGCAAACTACTTTTAGAACTTACTATTTCAACTTAAAAAATTAGTGAATGGATTCGCTTAACTGATGCCATTTCTGAGCTGTATAACACCATACCTACCAATGATCTCGATAATTATTATGCATTCTCAAATCGGGTAATCTACACCAAAAAGTTCAGTTACAAAGTCGATGAATTTACAAATAATGGATCACTGACAATGCCTCTGAAATCGATTATCAATCAATCAAGTTAAAATCCCGGGGAAAGTATCAATTCCATAAAGATTTAATGTAGTAGCGTGAAATTCAAACTCTATTGAATGGTTTTGAACAAATTTCTAATCATTTTGTTAATCACAATGTAATTGAACATTCATGAACAAAATCCATGCACTCTCATGTTAACTGACATGTAAATAAACAAATATTTTTACAGACATATTTTATTACTTATTTATCAATGATGGTTCAATTAAAAAAAAAAACTCAAATTATTTTTTATTACAATATCTAGAAATCAAAATATAAATTATGTAGATAAAATCAAATGAATTGAAATAGACATTAATTAATAGTAATTAAATTATTGAAAGCAAGTTAAAACAAAAAAAATTAATTATATTATCTTTCATCTTTAACAAGAATAATTAACCTTGAAATTAATGAGTTAAAAAAAGAGTGGATATCCTTATACAAAGACTTAATAATTATCATTATTATTACTATCTTTTTTTACAACATAATGATCTCACAGTGATTCTAATTATAAATGTATTTCCGTTTATCTATTTGTTAGTGTTCAATTAACAGGAATCACAAAAAAAAAAAAACATTTAAAGATTAAGCATTTTATGAACTCGACCATTCATCATCAATTTACCATACGTAGATAAAAAAAAATGCACATCCAACATATACACAAATTGATGTAAACACTCACAAAGTATAAAAAAAAGTAGGAATTAAACCTTTTATGTTTAATCGAAAAGTTCAGTCTGCTCCTTATCTGTATTCGTTTAGCATTTGTTTATCTATGCGTACTTATTAGTCACAGACACTTGTTTTGTGTATTACATATATATATATATATATATATATATATATATATATATATATATACGCCAGAATTGTACACATTGTATGTGCAAAAAAATATATTCAAAGTTTAGCTTTTATGTATGTATATAGACACACTTGATGGTTGTTGCTTCTGATTTTTTTTTTCAGAAAGAAGGATGAATATTGAAGGGTTGAATCAAAATCGATAGTCATTTTTTGCTTTATCCGAATACAGAGGAATGTAAGCAATCGGAAAGCAAATTATCACATGGTTTTAATAGTTTGTAATCTCAGACTGGATGAAATAGTTAGTAAGTTTTAAAAAAAAGAATTAGCCTCCTCTCCAAATGGCTTGACATACTGATTTGATCTTGATTAGCAATATAGGTAGATTAAAATAATTATTTCGTTTGGAAATATTAAAAAGTTTAGTGAATAGTAATGGTTCTTCAAATGTGAGAACTATACTAAAGTATGTGGAGCAAGTAAGTTGGGAGGTCATTGTTAGATTTTTACCCAAACTAACATTTACAGAAGAAACTGACTATTGTCACACTGATCAGATGATTTTGTTTATTCCTAGTAAGCGCCAATTTTAAGCTTAATAAAATAATTTGTTGAACCTGCTAGCAGTAAACTCACTGACGAACAATGATTATTGTCATAGTCAATCAGTCAGTCAGTCAACAACAACATAGAACGTCGTACGTACCTACATCAGTCCATTTTGCCATACCACACTAGCAAAGAGATGCAATCGTCACTTCAAATCCAATAGTAGTAGAGGTAGTAAATGTATTAGCTAGCAGTAATCGAGAAATTGGTGTTCGACAATATTATTCAAGAAGTAGACACAGTGAAATAAACTTAAAAAGATAAAGGTGATGAGAAATTCAGAAGGTTAGGATTTGAAAGAACACAAAGAATGCATGCACCTGAGCCATTGCAAACGGTTTTGCGCCATGTCGTTCAAGGTCTCTAACCATTGATTACTATCATGTCGCTGGCCCCAACCAGGCAGTCGATACCTATCAACATAGCTCGGTCCAGTTGTTTGTGACTTGTGGTATGCTTTGGCTTGGTCGACCCTAGTTTTCTTCCAACCTATTCCTATCTTGCGAAGCAAATGTAGAACTTCATCAACCACATAGATCAGTTTACTTAATCAACTAATGATAGACAGATGAAATCCAACGGAAACAATATGTGATGGTGTGTCTCTACAAAAGTCATCCAAATAATAAATTATATTATATGATTTGGAATTATTTTATTGTCATGATTTTGGTTATAGTTTACAAGTCATCGAGGTATTTCTAATAAGCATTGTTGTTTATCATCAAAATTAATTGTATTATTCACGTGATTCATTTATGTAAATTTTACCGCAGCTACTCCATTCACCCTCATCATCCAAGGCATTATAAAACCTACAGAGTAGCACTAGTTCAAATAATATTTAAGTCATAAAAAAATCTATCTATCTATTACTGTGGAATGATGCTAATCACAACGTCTACTGTATTTTTAATTAATTTGATTTCTATCCTTTTTTGGTTCAAATCGTTTGTTTTTTTTGTATATTAATATGGAAAATATTTGATAGACATAGAATTGTGGTGTTGTGCTTTAATAGCCATGAAATGTCTATTCCATTCAGCGCCTACACAAATATAATGATAACTAGTTTTATTCAGATAATCAATATAATTATGATACTGTTAATTACGAACTACAAATTTTCAAGGGAAAATATATGTTAGTTGGCTTTGAATATTAGGCATATTTTTGTAACCTATACTTTGATAAGTTATTCAATCTCAAGTGTTTTAGCCAGAAGAAACAAATAATTAATTACCTAACTATATAATAATTTGACCGACAGATTCAATAACAACAAGAGAGGAATCAGTGCCATTGCTTTATTCAACCGATATTTTTATCACTAGTACCCTGTAATTCCATGCTGAATCTACTGCAACTGTTCTTCACAGCAAAAAGCGTTTGGAGAATTTTATCACTGCATTTTAGTTTTGAGTGTCGTTATTGATATGAGAATAGTTCTTAATTCCCGACTGCTCATTCTGAAGACGAAAATCTAGAAGAATAACCGCATGCCTTGAATGAGTTAGTTCGGTCTCACACAGCCCTTCGGTAAGAAGTTCTGGATGTTTTAGCTCCATGTTTAATAGAAATATACCATTTTTAGTGTCGACATTTTTTTAATTCCCTCCCGCTGCTAGAAAAAGGCAGCATCCTCACAGGTGCTGTTTGCCTAATGAAAACATTTCACTACAGTCACACTCCTGTAAAGTCAGTAGTATGACTCCGCCCTTGCATTATGAGAATGTTGCTTTCGGTCTTAACGTTCTTTAACTAAACTGCATAATAGAGTAGGACCTAAGGAAATGAGTGTTTTAGCTGACATAGTCCTGTAGGCTTCGCATTACAGTGTGCTTTTAGCTAAATCATTGTTAAAACTATACAGTAATTTCATTCTAGAATGAGAGACATAAACAGTACTCATTTATGATGCCTTCGAGGATCCGATTAAATACCTTCAGGAATTATCGATACTGTAATCCTACCAGATAAACCACATTTTGAATTTCAGCCAATTCATGATACTACACGATTGATAATTTCTATCACACCTTTGGTCGAAAAATGATAATTTCTGAAATGGCATTATCAATGATTTCTCAAACCCTGTAACTTTTTAATGCTACATTAACTTTCAATTATTAGCCTAAAGGATTACAGTAATTTTAATTTATTGAAATTTTCATCTGAAATTGTCAACACAAGCTGAAATATCAGATTGTTTTTAACTTTTAATGCGTGGTCATGGATACATGAGCATATATAAAAAAGAAAGACAATTACTTTTTCCAGTTAAGTAATTATCATATGCTTTGTTTGCTCTATAAGGTCAAACTTTGATGAATTTCTCAAAAAAAAAAAACCATTCACAATAAACTTTTAAAAGTGTTCAAATTGAAAGAAGAAGAAAGAGGAAAGAATAATTGAAACAAATGTAAATATGTAGCTAGTACAAATCATCATTTACTTATAGTTTTCATTTATTGCAAAATAAGAACACAAATGAAATCATCTATATTGATAATTTGTTTCGAGTCATCATCATCAACAGTAACGTAGAACTTTGCACATAAGTACATCAGGTTCAAGTTGCCATACCACATTAGCACACAGATGCAATTGTCAGTTCAAATTCCATGTTTCGAATCATTAATCTGTAGAATGAACTATGAGATTTAAACGATCAATAACAGATTTATCTTTTACCGCTTTGTTTTCATGTTTTTATTTTGACAAGAACTGGATAAGTATCACATCAGAGGCCTGCTCAACTGCTTAGATCACCTATTTTTCCAGCTGCTAACAAGAAAATTGTCGCGCAAAATCCCTAGATCAATCAGAGTTAGACATTAACACCGTTGGAGCCGGCCCAGTGGTCCGATGGTAAGGCGTTCGCCTACAATGCCGAAGGTCCCGGGTTCGAATCGTGCGAGGAGCAGGAGTCGTGGATGCGCACTGCTGATGAGTCCTATACCAGGACGAAACGGCCGTCCAGTGCTTCCAGGTTTCTAATGGTGGTCTAACAATGATTGATTGATGATTTCAAATGTGTAAAAAAATTGTAATCAAACACTATTGTTTCACACTTATTTGAAGAGAGTGGCAAAAATTCTTACACTACATTTATCGATGAGCTATTTATTATTATTAAAAGAGACACGAGTTCTCGCTGAACCGGTAGAAGATGTTTATGATTGTTTACAGTTTGAATGGTAACATGCATGTTTAGTTGGTTGAGGCAGATATTCTTGTTTGTTTATTTTACACATTATATACTAGTGAATGCAAGCTTGTAATTTAAGAGTTTCTTAAAAAAAAATCAAAAGTCAATAGTTGTGTTTACATTTTACGTTTCGTTTTGTTTGCCTGTATGTTTTAGGAAGATTATGTCATCTTCAACTCGAATGTCAACATGAAAGATTTGAATTATATGGCTGAATCAGCCAGAAGGTCATACACTATTTCGATGGGAAATTACTAATTTATATGAGCCTCACATTACTCCTCTTCCGGTACTGTGTCTTTATGAAGTGTAATGGTTAATCTTATTTTCAACTGTTCTTCACCTAGGTTTGTGAATAGTAATAACCGCTGACGGACTCCGGGAGGAAATATCTTGATGAGAAAGTTTAATTTCGACACTAAAAGATATTCAAAAATTTAAAAAAGTACATCCCATTCGGTAAGCTACAGTATTTTCGATAATTTCATTGACTTAAGTTTTTAAATGATACATTTGACCTTGGATTCAAGCATGGAATTCTTTTGAGTGATGGGAATGAGAAGAAAATGTTATCTTAAATCTCTGAATAAGTTTTTCATCATTACCATACAAAAAAGAATAAAAAATTGTTGACAATACACAGTGAAACAAAATGTCTGTAGTGATTGATTCATTGTTCGTTTATGTTAAGAATATGACATCAGTAAGTAAGCAGTGTTGATAGTGATAGAGGAAATAAACAAAGACGATATGAAATTATATTCAACAATAAAGATATGAAGCAGATTCGGACGAATTGTCCCGCAGACGTGCAAGCACTCAAATATGAATTGATTTGTTGTACAAATAAAAATGGCTTACTATTTTTTTAAAATTTATTTATAACCTTCTAATTATATAGATGGCGAAATTATTCATAATCTCACTAACGAAACTTATCGACAATAAACATGATTGTTTCATTGTAATGGATGTTACTGACCTTGAATTCTCTATATTCATTGGTTCGTACGTTGCAAGATTTCCTGTTTTCTCATTTTCCACTGACTGTTTTTGTTCCTTACGTTTAGCCTTTCATAGTTATGGAAAACAAATAAAGATATTATGTTAAAAGATAATTTAATTGCTACATATTTAGATTGGTTAGAGAAGAAAACGATAATCGAATCATATACTCTTAGTAGTTTTGGATTAGAAAAAGAAAGAAAACGAAAATTCCAATCTATTGATAATAGAACGAAATTTCAATATTCAATGTTTGTCATTCCCTATAAAAAAAAATTTAGTATGTAAATTAAAATAGTTATATGAAAGATAAAAGAAAATATACTTTTCAAGTTGATGAATTTTTTAAAAAGGTTTCTCTTCGATATATTGATTCAAAGTGAGATTCTTCTATAAATTATGGATTATGGGGAATTAATTGAAATCAACTAATATAAACCGATGGATGATGGCTGACTGGTTACGAGGTTACGCATTCACCGTGAGACCTGAAAATTCGAAGCTCAATCATCGATTAGGGTTATGCATAGACGATGATAAGAAGTCCTATACTATGACAGTTCTTCATAGTTGTTGAATAAAATTTATCTAAAATACCACTTAGTGATGAAATATGAATAAAAAAATAATACTTAATACTTCAGTTAAAATTTAGCCTACAAAAAATTTAGACCATTCGCACAATTGGAACATAGATTAACATCATATAAACTTCATAATTAAGATGTATTTATACATGGTAGTTTGTAATTTTAGAAAATGACATTTATGCTTTTACTAAATATTGTATACCTTTATTCGTAGTTATACTACATTTAAGTCAGCGATTGACATGACTTGAAGAATTAGTAAAAATTAGGCAACACTAGTGTTATAATTTCCCAGTGTGATTCAACCACAAAATATGCTTTCTAATGCATAACCCTAACCAGAATAGGAAACTTGAATCATCAACTAAAATCAAGATCCATCAAGTTCATGCATACACATTTATGTGTATCCAAGATACGGTTATCCAATTCGTTACTTTGGTCAGCTGAATAACTTGAAATATCTTTACTACAACTGTATTTTTCTCCTACCATAGAATTTAATCTATTTGACATTTGAACTCAGTGTAATCTCTCTGAACTCATTCAACTTATTCGTTAGACATCTACACTTTCCTATTGTGCGACTCCTCAGAAGTGTTGGCTCATGATCAGGTATGAGAATGAACCCTGGATATTCAGATCTTGTGGCGTGATATGATATGATGATAATCAAGCATTAGCAGTTAATATAACTACTACTTAACTAAAGATAGTACTAAGCTGAACTAATTAAAATCTCTCATTAAAAAACTTCAAGAATCCATCACAAAACCATTAAATTAATTGAATTTTATAAAATTTTTATTCAAAAACTACCATTGTGACTTACTTAATACTTCACAAAAGTTATTTAAAACAAGCACCGGAAAACCGTTTTGTACTAATCGATACCTGCTTTATAGATCACAATTTTTAACTCTTACACGATAACATAATTGAAAAATTTGAAGTCAATTTTTAGATTATTTCTAATACTGACGAATTATCCCCCATTATTCATTGTAAATGATTGCTAATACTTTTATTATGACTAACTCTACTATTAAACATAATCTTCTTAAGTAAGATTATCCATGGTATGTTTGTGCGTGTCATTATGACTAACTTTTTCATAATCTATCTCAGTAATCTGTGTTTCAGATAAACATGATAATATATATGGTTTATCTATTGAAAAAAAATTTCCAAACATTTTAAATATCAGTACATAATAAGGATTTCTACGATCACGTAAACGGAAATTGGCTGGTACATGAGAAAGAAAAAAGTATACAGATTGTTGGGAAACTAAGAAAAAATTCGAAATTTTCTACAACCTTATCGTTGTTTAAATAACCGAGTTTTTTTAATCGATTAGATATTTGTCTCACTGTTTAGATTAAAGTAAAGTTATGAACAAAAGAATAATGCCTATATGTTAACTATTTAAAAGGATACAGTGATTTGTATGAAAATGATGAATACTAATATTGGTTTGATAAGTTTATGTTTCCCAATGATTATGAACTGAACTACACAAGTGTTACAAACCGATATTGATATTACCTAAGCAGTTACCTCTAAAACGCTTATCCCGTTTTCATATTTACTACGCCAAACTGACAGAGATTGTAATACAAATTTACTAAAGTTGATCGTAAATCTGGATTATTACTGACAGTGAGACTAATGAGAAGAGTCTTATTCTCTTTAGGTCTTGTTAATTATATAGCTTGTGTAAATCTATTTGAAAGAATACTTTTATTACTGTTCATCGATCAATAGTGAAACGTTTAAAAAGTGTAAACTAAATAGATTCGATATGTAGCGGATGTGAAATAGGCAGAGAAAATTTCTAATTTATCATCAAGAATAAATAATCAACGGAAAATCAAACAGTTAATGAATTCATTATTTCATAATTGAAATATGTAAATATCATAACTTCTTAAAATATAACTATTTGAAGAGCTTAGACATCATTTCGATCAATAAGTTTGTACTAGTTGACTAGAATGACCTTTAAAATTTTAAATTTTTCATTTGGAAACGTGTTTCAATGTTGTTACCTTAGTAGGTAAAACAAATCTTTTTGCCAATTAAAGATAATTTTTGATTCTTCTTGAATGATTTCAAATCAAAATGGATTAAGTAATTAAACTATTTACACTAAAATAAATCAAATTTAGAAAAAAGTATGCTTTATCGTAAAAGCTCAACACTGAATAAAGAATGATACTAGAACACTATTCGGCTGTCTGCAAGAATAGTTAATTTATTAGAATAAATGGATTATGACTAACAGCGGGACTCTGATTAAGTGTTTATTGCCACTAAACAATTGAGGTAAGGTAACCATATATCTCTGTTAGTATTCTAGTTTAAATATGAGCAGATTGCTTCCATATAACCATCTTTTCTATAAACTCTTTGGTGTTAGGGTCTGACTGTGTTCAGATTGTATCACTGAACTGTATAACCGAATGAAGAAAAACACAAGTATCGTATGATTAAATGAAGAAAATCACTATTTTTATTGGCAGTTCTTTGTTTTCTGGCAATTCATTGAAATACCCTTTTATATTTCATGCATCCTGATACCAAGATAAATTTAAATAAAGAAAGGAGAACGAGATTTACTGGATAACAGGAATTCATTATGTTTCAAGGCTTCTCATCAACTGCAAACAGTAGAAGGTTACATAAATAACATCAGTATAAACGAAGTTTAGCATACCGTAACAAGTCAAGTTTAATTTGAACCAACACAAAAAAAAATTAGAAACAAAAAGAACTAATACAAAAGTTAATAAATGCTAAGTGAAGTTTGTGTGTTAAAAGTGAATTTAATATAAAGAACGGAGTGAAATTAAAAACTCCGCACAATCAGAGAGACCAAGAGAACTATTCAGTTAGCTGAAGAACTGAAAAATTAGAACTTGATTGTACTTGGAATAAGTGAAACCAATTGAATGAGAATTAGACAGAAAAGATTAGCTTCTGGGGGTGGCGTTGTACTACGGCCAACAAGGAGAAAATACCTCATATACACAAGGAGTGGCGCTAATGCTGTCCAAAGTAGCACACAAAGCACTTGTAAGATGGGAATCTCATCCACTCAGTATCATCAGAGTATCCTTCGGGACAAGGAAACAGGGGATTACAATGAACGTCATTCAGTGTTGTGCACCCAATCAATGTTGGCCCACTAGCAACTGAACAGATTACCATGGAAATCAGTCAAATAGAGAACCGCAAAGCAACAGGACCAGATAACATAAAGGGTGAGACATTCACATCAGACATAACAGTAAATGAAAAGATACCCCACGCTCTCTTCAGCAAGATTTGGGATGAAGAACAGGTACAAATAGACTGGAAAGTAGGACGCCGATCTCAGCAAGTGTGAAAACCACAGAATCATCACTCTAATATCTGTACCAGGAAATGTCTTCAACAGAATGCTGTTAAACCAGACGAAAGATCCAGTAGACACTTGACTTCCAGATCAACAGGCTGGATTACGTTAGGGTCGATCGTGTACCGATCAGATCGCGACATTACGGGTCATTTTAGAGCAGTCAATCGAATTGAATTCACCACTCTACATCTACTTCCTTGACTTCGAGCAAACATTTGGCAACGTAGATAGGACAACACTATAGAGGCTTCTTCGACACTGCAGCGTGCCCGAGAAGATATTCGACATCAAGCGGGATTCTTATGATGGATTAAACAGCAAGAACTTGCGTAGAGGACAGTCCACAGATTCGTTCCAAGTGTAGATCGGTGTCAGGCAAGATTAGTTACTCTCACCTTTCCTCTTTCTCCTGGTTATCGACAGGATTATGAAGACGTCAACATCTGGGGGGATGTACGATATACAAGGTCTAAAGAAAAGGGCAAGGCCAAAGAATGAGAGACAGACGTGAAAAGAATAAATAGTGATTGGACAGAACTGGAAAAGAAGGTCCAGGACAGAGTGGGTTGGAGAAGGCTGCTCAGCGGTCTATGATCCATGAGGGGTAACAAGCGTAAGTAAGTAAGTAAGAAATTGAAAGTAAAAATGGTTATAAAGCGAAAAGTAAAAAAGGGAATTTGTTAAAAAATGTGAACGGTAATTAAGCCATCCAGTAAGTAGCAGTGAAGATTTTTAAATCATGAAATTTAATGAAGAGGCAATGTAGTCGATAAACATTCCATCATTGTTCAATTTTAAACGAGTGATAATATTTTTTAAGAATTATATCGGCTTCGAAAACAGTTTTCGTTACAAGAACTATCAAGGATCACAGACAAAGCTTTACACTTATATCATTATTTTAACTTCAATCGATTTAACTATTCGCAGTAATGTCCAATTTATAGAACAGAATTTTAGGTCGTTAATCTCATTCACTAGATAATTTGAATATTATCCAATTTCTTTGTTCCCTATTTGATCGATTTTATGGATAACAGTTTCCTGTTATAATTATTTGTAATATACATCAAATGTTATGACTAACTAACAAATGAATGAGAGTTCCTAATAGTTGGAAGTAATTGGTTGAAATTTTGTTACTTGAATAAACTAATGGGAATTCATTTTGAAAGTGTTATTGTGTGAGCATCACTTTGAACTTGCTTGTTTTAACAGCAGTAATCGTGGTTTTTTGCATTCATGTTGTAAACTGACTTCGATAACAGTCAATAAACTCATGTATTCAGAAGAAATTATGGTAATTTTAGCCTTGATTGGATCTTCAATAGACAAGATCATAAAGTCAGTTAATATTGTTTAAGATATAATTTGAAAATTATATTCATCTTCAACTAAATCTCATTTAACAGACACTTTAGTAAAGCATAAAGATGGAAAATCATTTCTAAATCGAACAGAATATACATACTTGTAAAACAGCTCCATCTGTCATTAATGAAATTTTATCTCCAACATTTCGATCGATGGGCGGTAAAAAGCCTCGACCAGATGAAGCATCTAATTCTCCAACCGGATTAACTACTAATGCCTTGTCTTTGAAATTAACATTCTGTGCAGATTTTGCTAAATTTATTTCATTAGTGGCAGGATTGGTTGTTTGACGCTTTGTTGTGCTAATGTTTGAATTACCACTTGCAATTTTGGAACCTTGAACAGTTGCTCCACTACGTGAACTGCTAGATATAGTTGAAACTGCCACAGTTGTCGGTGAACGACTACTGGTATAATCACTTTGTCTACTTAATTGTTCTTTTGTTTCATCCAATTGAACTTGAAGTGACCTAACATGAAATATTTCAAAAAAAATGTGAAACTATTCAATGTTTCATTTTCTTAAAACTTTTCCATAAGACTCTGTGAAACAATGATAAGTTCATTCTCAAAAAATCAATAAATCAATCGAATTCTGATAAAATATCAAAATCCACATAATTAAAGGTCAATAAATTTATAATAACATGTTTTCAAACAAAAAGGAGTTTAGCATAATTAATAATTCGTTTTTGTTTTTACTGAAATTATTATCTAAATATTTAGTGATAAATACAATCTATGTAGAACACAATAAATCTTAAAATTTCTTTACTTCTCAAAAATCCTAAAACAATTTCAAAAGCTTATCGACTAGAAAAAAAACATTTAAATTCTGGAATTTCGTTGAAATCAGGTTGATTAACATTTTCTTCACGAATTGTTATCATCTTGATATTCAATGCAAAATGTATAACTTCGATCAATCCACGATAGTGCGTGAACTCATCCACTGTCTTCGTTGGATAACTGTCTCGAACCCGACACAGTTGGACTAAATTGGCTACGACTTCTTACTAGGGCTTCGGAAATTCCTTCTCAAAGCTGGTCACTACTGATAACATGATAATTACAAGAAGTGGTGTTAGGATTGTGGGATTTTATTGAAACTCTGAACCTGTTTGTGTCAGAACACCAGTGAAAACCTGAGTGCTCACTGTGGAGGTGTTGTTTGCTATAATGAAATGGCCGTTCAATGCTTCCAGGTTTTCAATGGTGGCTTGATTTGGATCGATTTAGAACTGCAATGAAATCCAACAATCTCCACAACCCTATGCTTATGACTAAATAAGTAAAATAATATCCGGAACGCTACCATCACTTATTAAAAGCTAATTATTTTAAATCGGTTGCAATTACTATCAAAGCTCATTACTACAAAGTTTTATATATATATATATATATATATATATATATATATATATATATATATATATATATATATAGAGAGAGAGAGAGAGAGAGAGAGAGAATAAATGGTGACTTAAATTTGTACTGAAACAGCAAGTAATGTTTCCAGTTCAGTGGTAATTTCGTAAGTATATCACACAAAGTATTATTAGGAATCAAACCTGCTTTTTGTTAGGACTTGAGAAACTAGCAGACTAGTTATGCTGTAGTTCTCAGAGTGAAATTTAAATGTGTAAACTAGTACCTGGAATTTGAGTGTTTTAAATATTTCATTAAACAGATATTAGAAAACATTTGCAATTTATTTATGAACAACATATATAAGCGAACAATATTGTTTTGAATTGTATCGTCATCAGGCTTTACTGTAACATGTATATATGAAAATGTTAAACTAAATCAAGACAATTCATGAGTCAGCTACAAATAATATGTAAAAGTACAAGTTGATAGTAGGAAGACAGGTGTACAGATATTAGTAAGAATAATAAAATATGATAACATTTGTTTTATGTCTGTTATTGGTCATAAACAGCTTAGTTGTGGATTGTTTCAGACGTCGAAGTTCCGTACATTTTTAACTTTACCGCTCATGACAGAAATCTGTAGGGTGAAATAAAGTATATATTATTTCTAGAACTAACGTTTTCTAACCCCATCCTTCCCTTGTTGAGAGGAAGCATAGCTGCAAATGCTGATTATCAGAAGAATATATGTTATTACGGCTACAGATCTGTGCAGTCAGAAACAAAACTTTTCAGTCCGATTATGGGTGTGCTGCTTTTAGTCTTACTGGTCTTCAATTAACCTGGTCGGCACGGTAGAATGTGACGGAACAAGCATCACATCTTTCTCGGAGACGAAAATCTGGCCGAACATACAAATCTTCAACATTGTTCTTTGCATTCATTTTTGTCCGATTTGGTGAATCATTTACATGTCTAGAATTGATTTTGTTCAACACGGTCAAATTAGTTGAAAGTCTGTTTTCTTATAAAAATGAGAAATATAAACACATAGATTTTGCTTTGTTTAAAAAATTTATTTCAGTATCATAGATAGTTCAAATATTTGTTTTCATATATTCATAGTTTATTTGAATGTAGATTAATTTATCTAGGCAAGTTAGTGTGATTAATTTTTATCATACAAAAATGCTAAATTACTCAAGCATACCCTGTTTTCAAACACATAATATCAAAATATTGAACTCTCTGAACATATTATTTTAAGTCTACCATGACTTAGTAGTCTATATTAAATTTAAATTGACAGGTTCTCAGTTCATTTTATTCTAAACAACTATAGGATAACAGTGACATATGAATTAATGAGTCCTCAAATGAAATAAAAAAATGTAAATACTTGCTTGCGATTCTGGCCCCCTGTTCAAAATAAAATCGGCTTATATACATAGGCAATATCGAGCAATCCGAACGTCTAGCCAGCATGCAAATGTTTTGTAGAAAGTGTATTTATTTACGAAAGTGGTATTTACCAGTTTGATGGTTATAAAGTAATCCCTTAGTGGAACTTCTGTAGGAAATCTGCTCAGATCTTTAGAAAACTTATTTTCTGATTAACTAGTTATTGAACCTATTTCATCTGCCGAACATTTCGTTTCAATTAATCAGCTATGAACATTATCTACGTTATATACTTAGCAAAATTTTGGAAAATTCCATGTTAACTGTTGTGACACTCCAGCAAAAATACAACGATAATAGACATACCTCGCTTTTGTTTGGTATTTGTTAGGCTAAAAAAGAGGACTACTTGAAATCTATGCATGAATCATATATTCAATGCATTTGATTCACAGGAATATTCCCTATAATCAAAAATTTAGTATCAAGCAACAAGGAATTACTGTCACTATCCCACCAGATATAATATGGATTGTTTGAACGAAGATAATGGTGTAAAATCTTATTTTGTTTGAAACTAATATAAGCAGGAAAAAACATTTTTTTTGTAAATAATTAGTTTATTTCTGGATGCAGTAGCTACTTATGAGTAGCATTGAACTAAACGTGAAACAGCTTTTCAGTATTTTATCACTACATCAGATTTCCTTGCTAGCTGACAAACTTTTAGAAGTCTACACTACGTGGTGATGTTTGTTTGGCAAGGATTCAAAACCAGAAGGCATTGAACATCTAGTGTGCCCCATTATGGAACGCATCAGTAGTTAAAATCCACAACCACATCTGGGACCGAGCTCAGTACCTCTGACTCCAGGGTGAGCAGTTGACCTATAGGTTACTGCTACTCAATAGTTTATCATAACAAAACAGCTTTTCAGTGCCTCCTACTTTACAGTTATTTTCTTTACATAAGGTTAATCTGTAATATTGATTATGAAAAACTCAACAATCCAAGCAAATATTCATATTCGTGGCAGATATTTGTTGTCATAATATAACAAAACAAACCAGTTATTACATCAAAAGCTACAGTTTAAATGTAATGTTAACAATGAAAACCATTATTCAGCACTGCTTTGTCTGAATACACTAGGGAATATGTATGTTCCATAATAATAATGCAATCAGCATATTTGTTTAACTGTCTGTTGTTAATCGGCTATATTCATCAATAGGAAAAATACAATAAAACCTGCCATGAGAATAATAACACTGAATCAGTTGAGATTTTGAAGCCTTTTGAAGCAATAATATTTTTAGTCTAGTTCTGTTGTTGTTATTATTAATATTTTCATTCAATACATTTTTGTTTAGCGTTCATATTTATTTCTCTTCATGAAAGTGTAGATTTCAATGAATCTTGAATTTAGACGATTGAAAATTAATATTAGCTACTGAAGTGTAGCATTATTACAAAGCTACTGATGACTAACAATGAAAGAATGAATACAGATCGAATTTAGTTTTAGTAGAACAAACAGTTGTCAGAATTACCGTCTATGAAACAGAAATATTTGCCATTAATAAAAGCAAAATCATATCACATAAAATAAGAGAAAAAATTTGTTTGCTAACGAAAAGACCTTGCAGCTAAATGTTATTAGACGGTGAATAAAATTAAACTTTTGAACTTCATGTTGACTGAATTTGAAAAAAAACAGAGTACATCTCATCATGTTCTCGGTTAAATTGTTCTTGTTTTATCAACTAATTTATATTGTTGTTAAATGAAAAAATATAATTAATTTTGTTAAGAAGTGTTGTGTTCAGTAACTAATTGTTTAGCCAAAAAAATTCATTTGATCAGTAATAAATGACAGAAATCTAATTTCCTAGTCAAGAATCCATTTACTTAACATTCAGTCATGCTCCAACTGTAAAGGATGGTAATACTGACTGGTTGCCTGATTAAAAGTAATTGAAGCATGGTTCAAACGTGTGACAATGGCTGCAATCCAACTGCCCTAATCACTCACTGAGCCTCTTCTCTACTAATAACAAACATCACATACTAGTACGAATTCTTAAGTAGGGGGAAAACTGCGATAAGATATTTTACTGGTTAGTAAAGATACACTGCTGTATCTGACAAAGTATAATTATTACTAGTAATTCTATAATAGATTGTGAACTCATGTAATCAACCTCGAAAATAGCGATTCTTGCGTCTTTATTTTCGACTGCATTCAAGTACGTAAGTATGCACATTAATGATGAGTTGAAAGCAGAGAGGAAACAACTATTCACTGTTCATATTTTTTGATTAGTTTTTTAATATAAAGTCAGTATGTTATGAAAACCGTACCCAGTTTCTTCAGTGATCAAAAATTCTTCTACTAACAGTTTTCTCATGTTGATCAAAACATACATTCCATGGATTTATCATCAACATGTGATATAATACAGGCAATAGAGGAAAAATAACAATATTTTTAACTGCTTTAGCTTTGAAAATAAATCAGTTGACAAGGGCATCCTTCCTTGAATTAGCTAGATTGTTTCTAATCTTATTAGCTAGTAGAATAGTACTACGAATCAGTAAATATCAAGATAACTGATTTTATTCAACATTGTTAAAATAGATTCACTTCCGGTTTCAATCACTATTCACTTCATTTCAGTATTTTAACCAGGTCTATCTGATTTGACCTAATCAAAGGTACATATATTTCATCAGGATGCAGTTTAGCAGATCAATCTACATACATTATCTGTTTGCAACAATCGATCTTTGAGCAGTAAAAAATGTCATGACAATCAGATCGACTTTTATCGATCTAGTTTCCAGTGAGTTCATAAGGCTACTAAACAACTGCATATGAAGGGAAATTTTAGTCGATGTTTGATAAACGAAGCCAATCAACAGGAATCCATGTTATTCATACGTCTTACGACCTTGTCTATTATTCGCTCATAACCTTGGTTGTTTTTATTTGAGTATATGTGTGTGTTAGTATGCATTAACTACTTGACATATCACATGTCTAGCTTATTTTTTGTGTGGCCATAAATAGTTTTTCAAGGCTCATCACATGGACTTGGACCACTTGGCATCTGTGTTTCCCTTTACTTCGCATTCCTTATCTGTCAGCTTACATGTATGTATAGAATGAATTCATCCACAAAACTACATTGGTATTTTAATTACCGCAGTCGTACAAACAGAGTTAGCTAAAATGTAATATACAGAAAATCAAAGAGATTTATTGCAGAGCATATTCAATTGTTCGTCCGAGTTGTAGTCAGATCCCGAGTCACTTAATGTTAACGAAAATCATATTTTCTTATTGATTAATTACACAAAACTAATGCAGAAGAAATTTTCGTTCTACTGAGAATTCATTTACCGGTGACTCTGAGAAATATTTCACATAAATAATTAGCTTAAAATTAGTCATTTAAACCAAAAAAAAGCTTGTTCAAACAGGAAATGTAATTTTTTAGTGATACAATGTTCTAAATACAATTAAAGTTATCTATTTCAATAAATCCAAGCAGTCAGATGATTTAGGATAAATCACATGTTTACGGTTGTTAAATAATGAAGAATTTTTTTGTTAGAATTATGACTTATCTGCTCGAAATTATCAGTAACTAAGCTAAAATGTAAGCGTCTGCAGTTTAAAATTACACGATTTTTGAAACAAGTCATGCTGTCTTGATACTTACTTTACCCACCACCGAATAATTGAGTTTTGTATGTGGTATGAATCGAGTAATCGATTGGAAAGGGAAACGATAGAAAGCATTGTCTGATAAATTCAAATATATATTTTCAATGTGCATTATTGTCAAATTATGTATTTTTAAATTGTGCCAAATCTAACCTTCAACTTGAACTATTGATCGTTAATATTATTTTATTCTATTCCAAAATTATCGTTAATCATTCAAAAATCTGATATTTAAACATCATCGGAAAAAGATTGTTACTGAATAAATTGTGATTCATTATTTACGATATGTTATGGACTTTTTACTACATGTTGGGGATGTTAGATCCCTTGAACTCACTTGATAAAGGTCGTAATTCTGGATTTTTTTCATGGGCTCATCGGTTGACCTTGGAATTACGTTTCCCACCTGGAAACTCCTTGACTGTCATTGGTTGATGTGTTATTTTAGTATGCTATTTTTGTGTCTCTCTCAATGACGTTCGTATCATGTATGAATAAAATCGATTTGTCTGCTTGTTGACCTTATTTCTCTGGGTGCCATATCAAGATTTCTTTTTTGAGTTAGACAGGGAAACGGATCAGAGTAGCCTATCGTGTCACTGGATCATTGTCTTAGCTCTCGTTTACCCACTAAGGTGATACTCGTAATAGTTTCAAGCATGTCAATTGAAGAGCATAACAATTTATTCAGTTGAATTTTAAATCTAATAATAAAACAGTATATTCAGGTGGATAGCTACTATCCTCATTAGGAGATTCGAAATAGATGAACAAACGTCTCTATGAGAAGTCAACCGCTTTTCGTTCCCAGTAGCTGAAAGCTGACGGATTCATAATAAGCATGGGAGAAAAATTCAGATTTCACGAACAATCCCTAATCCTTATATACAACAATATAGGCCTAACGTCGAGAGTAAAGACTTATCGTATAGTCGCCGTGTTGTAGTATGTTAAAAATT